CCAAATGAAAGTCAAAGTAAAGGAGAGTCTAAGCGAAAGTCAAAGTCAAAACAAAAATTAAAGCGAAATCATAGCAAGAGTCAAAGTGCAAGTCAAAGCGAAAGTCAAAGCGAAAGTCAAAGTCAAAGCAAAGATCAAACGTTTATCATAAGCATGATAAACATAACTTTACAGGCAATCAGTTTTCGAAGTCAAAAGTAAGCCAGGAAAAAATCCGGTTACCATGTATAGTTCGGAGGTCGGACAGGCCCTTATTTGTAATAATTTTTAAGAATTTTTATTTTGGGCCATCATCGTAATTATTTTCATTTTGGGGTCTTTATGTGTAAATTCCCCAAAATTTATCAATACCACCCATTTTAATAGATTTTAAACAAGAATTTTGATCAATAAGCCAAAATTTAACATTGCAATTAATACAGCATACATATTTATAAACTTAACAAAATCCGTCGTTCAACGACGGGTCCAATATCTAGTTACATCAAAAATATACACACATCAACTCTGATAAAAATATTCTATTCAAGATCATATAATTCATTTTTTTCATTATCATTTTCTTTACTAGAAAATGCATCAGCATCCTGTTTAGCTTTCTCGACATCAATTGTGCCAAAAATTAAAGCGGACAAAAAAATTATTACAAATAAAAATATATAAGGGCTTCTTATATTATGAGTATAATTTACTATAACTCCTGATACAATAGTCCCTACATTATTATAAAAATTTTAATTAATATAGTTACGTAAGTTTAGAATTTAAAATCCTTTAAAAAAATTTTTTTTACCTATCCAACTTGAACCCTATTCGTATTAAAAATGAAATAATAATGTTTAAAGACGTACAGTAATAGACGTACAGTAATAAGAGACAGTAACAAGCCAAGATAAAAAAAAAAATTTTATGAAATTACCTTTGAAGTCATCGAAAACAAAGAAAAAAATTCATTTTCATGTCCAACAGGTATCATAATAGCAAAGAAAGCTCGACAATAATTATTTGCTGCACCAATAGAAATTCCGAACCATAACAAATACATCCAAATCTCCCATTTAGTGTTTAATCCAAATGGTAACCAAAAACCCAATATTACATATAGTGGTAATATACTTGCAAATATACAAGAAATTACTACGATCGTTTTTTCAGTCAAATGAAATAATTTTTGTAAATAAAGAAATATATATATGCCAACTATTTCGAATAATGGAACTAATGATGAAATTAGAGTGATTTCTGCGTTGGCCATTTCAAGTTGTTTTCTACCGAGCAGAACACCGACTACTATTAATGTGCTTACGCCATCCGATATAAAAAACCAGCCAAAAAGACATTTCATAGTTTGCCAGAGTGAACGAATTGATAATAAGGTTTTCCCCACACGTTTCCAAGAATATAATAAATAATTTTCACCTCTATTAAACATTTA